GGTGGGAAGAGGACATTGAAGAGCCAGAACTGGGACGTGGGCTGCAGGAGCAGCGACAGCGTCAGCAGCGCAGCCCCGGCGCCGCTGCTCCCCATGGCAGGCTCGGCTGGGCTCCTCCGCACGGCTCCGAGCCAAGCAGCCTTTTATAATTTCTACACAGGTCCGGCCAAGAGGCACCCGGGCTGCAGGGGAGGGGAGAGCTGCAAGGGGCTGGCCACGAGGAGGAGGAGGGACGGGGAGGGACGAAGGACTGGCCTTATGGACAAACCATGGCCTGTCAAAACCAGTGCAGCAGCGCCAGGGGGTTCTTAGGGCCCCGAGAACCCTGCTCAGGGGTGCTGCACTCAGCTTGAGCAGCTTCCCAGTGCCTCAGTGTCCCTTTGTCATGTTCTGGGGAGGTGGCTGCCACGTTCTTGCCCCTCTATGGTTCTCTAGGGGTAATGCTCACTCCCTGCCTTGGTGAACACAGCCTCTCTCCACTCCTCCTGCCCCTGGCCGAGGATGATGGTGCTGCCAGCATGGCCAGGTGGCCCCAGGTATCTGGGAGAAGATGGAGGGGTTGGGATAGGAAAAGAACACATCTGGGCAGCTCTTTGTGACACATGGCAGTGCCACGTTCCCCAGTGCCATCCTGGGCACTGCCCTTCCCCGTGCAGCATCCTCCCAGTATCCACTGGAAGGCCCCAGTGACAGTCCCAGCTGGGGGAAGTCCCTGCAGCTCCAGCCTGCACTGGGTTCATGCTCTGGCTGGAAGGGACCTTAAAGATCATCTCATTTCAAACCCCTGCCATGGGATTTGAACACCTCCCACTAGACCAGGATGCTCCAAGCCCTATCCAGTGTGGCCTTGAACACTTGAAAGGATGGGGCAAAATCATATTGTCCTGCTGAAGGGAAGATTGTCTTCTTCTCCCAGGAAGTGTGACGTGGGACAGGGATGCTATAGGGCACTGGTGGGTGGGCTGGCTGACAGGGTGGGCTCCCTATAGAGCAAAAGGGCCCTTCCTGAGGAATGGGGAGGAAGGGCAGTGGAGTATGTGGGTGGCAGCTGTAGGTGCCCCACGGCTCCGTGTCCCGGTGGCCCGGCTCCCGCAGCCTCCCTCGCTCCGCTCTAACGCGGCTCCTGCAAAGCGCCGCTGGGGCTCGATGGAGCCGAGGCTGCCGCAGCCCCAGAGCAGAGCTCGGAGCCCGACCGGCCGCAGCCGCCGCTCTCCCGTCCCCGCGGGGCCCTCCTGCCTCCCTCGGGGAGCGGGGAGGTTTCACAGCCGCTCCCGCAGCTCCTGCTCCTCTCCCTGCCCCGCATCCCTGCGGCAGCGGCATCTTCCCAGGGCGCATCCCTGTGCCCGGTCAGCGCCCAGGGACATTCCCAGAGCCCGGGTTCAGTCTGGCCTGCGCTGGGAGCCTCGTTGGGGGAGCGGGAAATAGCAGAGAGGGTGCCCACATTGTCCCTGCAAGCTGAGGAGAGCGGGGTGCCCCACCTGTCACAGACCTGCACCCCCCTACCCAAATGTGAGCCTGGATAGCTCAGCTGGGAGAGCATCAGACTTTTAATCTGAGGGTCCAGGGTTCAAGCCCCTGTTCAGGCGGTGGCTTTATCCTTTAGGAGCCCATGGGCAGGGGCGGCATCGCGTCCTGCCCAGGTCGGTCCTTCCCGGGGCAACTGGTGCAGGGAATTTTGCTTTCCGCTGCTCCCTCCCTCAGTGCTCGGGTTCCTTCCCCAAGCGACGTCAGGCAGTGTTGTTAACGTTTGGGTTCCTGCTGGCAGCTGGTTTTTTCTGCTTGACAATCTCCATGAAGATACTGAAGGCACTGGAGCATCTCTCGTGGGAGGGAAGCCAGGCTCTGTTCATGGTGCTCAGGGCCGGGGCCATGGGCACACACTGGAGCACAGGAGGCTCCAGCTGAACATCAGGACACCCTTTTTTCACTGGGAGCATGATGAGCAGAAATTTCCCAGCAGAGCCCTGCGCCACTTTAAGGGAATACAGCTCCTGTGAGAGAAGAGGCTGCAGTGACCTGTGGGGCAACCACACTGTCTCAGTCAAACCCTGGACAGTGCTGTAGGTGTATAGACACTTCAGGAAATTTTTGCAAAATAGAAACTCTTTTAACAGAAATTCAAGCAATTTTGGATGAAAAATACTCCCTGTCCTTAGCAAATTTTTAAAATGTTTTTCAACTTGAGCATACATCAGTTGTTCAAGCACAGTAAATTATTTTTCAGGTAAGTTTAGTGGCCTTACACATCACACTGACTTTCTGTGGAAAAAAAAAAATAAAAGAGGAATGAGAAGTTATGTATTTCCTTGGGTAAAAGTGGGGCAGGCACTGCTGCTGCTAATGAGCGACTTCTCCAGATGTTTGCCTTCTCTTCCTCCTATTTTATCTTTAGAAGGGACATGCTTTTTGAGCTTTCCCTAAGTAAAGAGATATATATTTTCAGTAAATGGATGTTGGAGGAGTGTGAAGTCACACAAGTAAGTGACCTATAAACTGCAAATCCTAAAAGTAAATGTGTAATGATTTTTTTTTTTCCTTAAATTTCTTACTCTCGATAAGATACGAAAGAAAATAAATCTATTTTGTGCTAGGAAAAAAAGAAACCCACCCTCTCCTTTTCCCAAGCAGCAGCCCTGCAGACGCATGAACCCATCTGCCTGAGTTCTGCAGCGTCCTGCTGCTCGCAGGAGCCCCGGGGCGGTGGGCTGAGACCCTCTGCTTGGGCGGTGCCTCCGCCGCCAGCAGCCTGCGCCGCACCTCGTGTAAATCCTCCTTGGAAAGCTGCCACCAGAGTGAGTTCTGGCGGCTGTCAGGAGAGGGCACCAAGTCCAAGCAAACGGGGGAACTCCATTAAGGCTCCAGAAGGGTAAAGGCAGCAGTTTAAGAGGCTTCCCCAGGCTGAAGCATCTCTTGGTGCACCCAGAGATCTCCATCTGCTTCTTGGTGCCCGTGAGACCTCGGGTTCCCAGACCTACATTTTGTCAGGGTCATCCCTCACTTCTGGGTGGGTTTTGCTTCTGCTCCATCCCTGGAGGTCCTGCAACCAAAATCCTGCTCTCCTGGAGCAGGGAGTGCTAGCAGTAGGACTTTCATCTGGTGATCTTCCTTCTTCTGCTGTGGCAGACCCTTCATACCTGGGAGCCGGGAGCTGAGCAAGCTGCTGCCTCCCCCTCCTCTCACTCTGCAGGGCCCCCACAGCTACTTCTGGTCCTCTTTCTGCAAAACTGTGATGAAGCAGAATGTGCAAGGCTGAGCAAATTCCTCTAAATTCTCAAGTTTGCCTAGAAAATGGAGAAGCTGGAGCGCTTTCCCAGAAATGTCATTGCAGCCTCACTGGGAAGACCCTGCACAGTGACTGCAGGTCAGGAAATCATTGTCGGTGTGAGTCTGGTCCCTCTCGGACCACCGGCTCTGGACAAAAGCTGCTGTGACTCGGATTCAAACCGAGGTTGCTGCGGCCACAGCGCAGAGTACTGAGCCCTGTATGATCACAGCAGAGCAGCTCCTGCTGCCAGCAAAGTCCCCACGCTGTCCCCTCCCACGGCAGGGACACCCAGCACAGCCTGGCCGACAAATCAGTTTAATTAAGGAGGCTACAGATGGACTCGGGTGCTGCTGCTCAGAGCCTTGGCAATCTGGAGTGGGGCCCTAAATTGTGCAAATCACTGGCAGTGCTGGCATGGCACCCAGGAAATGAGACTGCTGCAAAGGACAGCCTCGTGCAGTGGGGCCATCATCCTACAGTACAGCAAAGTCGGGGTTAGAATAATTTCAGCTAAATCTAAGTGGTACAAGAGGTGAGGAATTAATTAATTAATTTTAGCGTCCTGTGCGATACAACAAATTTGAGGGAATTCAGCTAAAAATGCAACAAATGGCACAAAGATCTCCATGGGGAGCTGAGTGGTGCTGTGGGAAGGATAACAGAAGGGAGGTCTGTGTAATCCAGAATGTCCCTGGCCTGTTATCCAGCATCCCCAGGGTTCCACTGCCACTCCCCTGCCTGATGATGATCCTTCGTGTTTCCTCCCCAGCTTCATGCCTTCAGAACTGCACTTTGGTAACTCCAGAGGTGCATTTGCTGCTCCTGGCCCTGGTGCAGGTTGGGCTCAGTGGGGGTGAGAGCTCCCTGCTCCACATCCAAGGCAGCCCAGAGTCCCCTGGGGACCATCCCACTGCTGCCTCCTCCCCATCCCTCCATGCACCACAGGACATACAGTGGGGGATCCCTGGTGTCCCCTTGGACCCCATCAGCCCCATGGTGAGTCCCAGAGGACCTGTGGGCACCTCTGCTCATCACAGAGCCTCCAGTGCCACGTGTGCCCCATGGAATTTATACAACACCAAGAGCCTGTCCTGCCTCCACAGACCAGCTTGGAACAGGGAGCAGAGCTGCCAAGAAGAGAGGTACAGACAGGATTTAACAGGAACACAGAATAGGTTCCCATCCCTGAGAGGGCTCAAGCATACACTTACAGATTTCCCATTTGAGGACCTTGTCTTCATGGGTGTTTTTGGCTATCTTGATCTGTGCTGGAGGAACACAGCAGGGCATAAGCAAGCCAGAAAGATCATGTCAGGTTTTGCTTCCTTACCTGTGTGGTAGAGGAGCTAATGATGAGCAGTGCTCTGCTTGGACTTTGAACTGACAAACGAGAAAGGATTCGCTGGGAGGAGTGCCTGAGGCATTGTAGGGTGGTGCTGCCATTCTGAGAGACACCTCTGGGGTGAGCCCAGGGACAAATTCCTATCAGGATGGTGTCCAGGTCCCCAGTTAAACAAGAACAAATGTTCAGACCAACCTAGCTCAATGATATGCAGAAATAACTGAGAACTCTCAAAGCACCAGTGAGGACTCTCTCAGTGATAGTCAGTAGAAGATCAAGGGAAGGAGGCTCACACAGTGCTACTTATTGTTTGTGGACAGTCATTTACTAAGGGACAGGTAGAACATGGTGCAGCAGCAAAAGTCCTCACAGTCAGAATCCTGGATCAGCGCCTCACCAGGGCATGACCTTCCCTTCCCAGTCCAGAAAAGCCCCAGTCTCCTTCTCAGAGATGGAGGACAGCACCTTCAGCATCCCTTGCACGCTGTCTTCCACTGTCAGGGGAGGCTGTGGGGCAGAGAGAGAAACAATTCTGTGCTCAGGGGCCTACCCTGAAACACATCATTGCTCTGGGCAAGAAGCATTCCCAGTCAGTCATCTCCCTCCCTCCTGTGCCTCCAGGGTATCTGCCCAGGAGCTCTCACACAGCCCAGCATGAGACCCCAGCAAATTCTCCATTCCTAAAGGATGAGGTTCTCCCAGACCATGGACAGGAGATGTCTCACCTTATATGAGCCTCCGGCCCCCATGTCAGTTTGCACCCAGCCGGGGTGGAGAGCCACGCAGAGGATGCCGTGCTCCTTGTACGCCAGAGACTGGCACCTGCTCAGCATGTTCAGAGCAGCCTGTAGGGAGACAGGGAGGAGACAGCAGTGGAAGGGGAAAGGGGGCTGCCAGGGAACATGTGCAGACCCCACAGCTGGGGCAGGAATTGGGCAGAGGGGGCCACGTCCTGGGGTACACGATGCCCCCTCACCATCCCTGTGTGGATGCCCAGCCTAGATGAAGTCCCATTGTATCGTGTCCCTCTGAGGTAGGACCCAGGGCCAGGCACAAAACTGAACTGTGATGGGCACTCAGGGACTGACAGGAGATCAGCCACAGCATAGAGAGGGGCACAGCCTGAGTGGGAGGCTGGAAGGCAGCGTGATCATTTGGAAGGAAAAATGTCTGGGCTCACCCCCAGTAAAATCTGGCAGTACCTTGCTGCAGCGGTACGAGACAATTTGTCCAAAATCCCACACATACATGTCCTCAATGGAGCCTGCATAGCTGGACATGTTGATGATGGCAGCCTTGCTGCAGCTCAGCTCTGAGCCTGGGCTC